CGTAGGTGTAGGGCGGTGGGTTGGTGTCCGGGGGGTTGGTAGTGTGTTTTTCTGGCCGGTTCCCGGTGGCGGCCTCGCGGTGGTTTTAAAATTGTTTTTTCTTGTTTTTTTTTTCCTGATTTGGTTGGTGTTATTTTGTTGTTTTTGTTTTTATGAATTTGGAGGTGCTGGGAAATTGATTTTAATGTCCATGTCTGTTAACTGGGTCTTTTTTTTGTGTTTTTTTTTTAGTCCTTACCAATGTTCTGAGTGATTTCAGCATGTACCGTGTTTTTTTTTTTTTTTTTTTTTTTGAAGAAACTAAAATCCCATGTTTTTGGTTTTGGATTATATTGGTATATATTGATCTGTATGGTTTAGCTAAGAAACCATAAGCAAAAACACTATACACCCCTCAACAATGGTCAACAAAATGTACAAAACCTTCTTATGCAGCAGCACATCAGAGTGGGCATCTGTGATCATTACTGGGAATTGGCACTTACCATCAGATGGATCCTTATCTGTCACCACAGCCAACCCGGAGAATCGTAATCCCATGTGTTCTGGTTCTTGAACTGATAGTACATGTTGAAGGCGAAAGAAGCGTTGCCTTCCACGCTGAGATGATTGCAAGAAGAGCCATAGCCTAAAGCAGTGCAATTAGAGAAGGTGCAACCATAGTCAATGTTTCTTGGAAAATCATCTAGTTCTTTAAGGTGTGAGTTCAAAATGCACCACCTTTTGTGCATGTAAGCCACCCCTTCTACTGCAACAAGGCCTTTGTTGAGTTTTTTGCCTGATAAGTCAAGTTCGGCATGGTTGATGGCTTCTTGAATATTTCTGAGAGCTGGAAAAGTGTAAGGCAGAAAACTCCCATTATAAGTTGTCAGAAATGGCTCATTCCCAACTGCAACATACCTGATTTTGACACCACCATTGTAGTAGTAATTGGTGACATGTTATGGGTTTGGGTTTGGGTTTGGGTTTCATGGTGTGTGCATTCCGGGGTATTGTTGATGTGCTTAGCGGTTTTATTTGTTTATTTGTTTATTACTTGTTTGGATGTTGTGTGCTTGTTTATATTTGTACGTGTGCACGACAATCTTTTTTTTTTTATGGTTTTCATGGTGTTTGGTAGTTTATATCTACTCTCGGGTTGTTGTAGATGTCCTTAGCGGTCGTGTTTGTTGCTCATTTTTAAAAATAAAATTAAAATTTTTCAATTCGATACTCAAGTTATATTATGTGTATTGTTGGTGTCTAGTAATCTGATTATTTGCATGCATGTACCTACCATATGAGACAACAACAAAGCAATTTCGTATAATTCAAATATTTAGTATATTATTATTATTCAATCTCAAAGATCCTCAATCATTATGAACTTTAATTTGTAGCTATTTGTGCTCGGTTGTTTACCGCTATATGTATTCTCAAGTTATATTATGTGTTGCGCTCGGTTGTTGCTCATTTTAAAAAATAAAATAAAAATTTTTCAATTCGATACTCAAGTTATATTATGTGTATTGTTGGTGTCTAGTAATCTGATTATTTGCATGCATGTACCTACCATATGAGACAACAACAAAGCAGTTTCGTATAATTCGAATATTTAGTATATTATTATTATTCAATCTCAAAGATCCTCAATCATTATGAACTTTAATTTGTAGCTATTTGTGCTTGGTTGTTTACTGCTATATGTATTCTCGGGTTCTCATTCTTTTTTTTTTTTTTTTTTTTTGGGTTTCATTGTGTGTGCAAACATGTGGATGTTATTGTTGTTTTATTTTCTAGGTAAGAAGTCAAATGTGTATGTTGGTTCGTTTTTGCAGCTAAAAAATCCAAGCGCGCCCATTCAGATGCTGGTCCTTCGGGAATATCTAAGGATAATAGTGATTCTATGTCGCCGCCTAGGGTGGTCCTTTTCAAGATTCAACCAGAGCCACCACAGGATAATGCCCTCGATTATGGATATTAAATAAATAAATTTCACGGAAGTGTCTAGTTGAGTATTAGCTTATATTGTTTGTAAATGAATACGTGGATGCACAAATACGTTAATTTGTGTGCACACACATTGTTGATAAAATGTGTGCATCATCGTCAACTTAATAAATTTCAACCATGTATAGTAACGAAATGATTTTTTTTGTAATTGACTATTGTACTATTAGCTTGTAGGCTTAGTTAATAAACACGTGTGTGCACAGTTGCATTGAATTCTGTGCATGGATACAAACTAGATATATTTCAAAAAAGAGACTAATTCAAAAATCTCTTATACGCTTAGTTTTTAATATGTGTGTGCATAACTAAAAAAATTCCAACCATGGATTAAAACTAAATAAATTTCACATAAGTGAGTAGGTCACTATTAGGTTATAGGTAGACATGACCACGGTTCCGGTTCCGATTCGGAACCGGCGGTTCCGGTTCCGTATTTGGTCGAACCGGAACCGGAACCTTATATTAAGGTTCCGGTTCCGGTTCTAACCGGTATTTTTTTTTTTTTTTTTTTGTTGTAAATTGTAAGTTTTTAAGTATTGTTAGGCCTTGAGTTTGAGTAAATTTTTTTTTTTTTTTAAAGATGACAGTTGTAACTTGTAAGTTTAAGTGGAATAAAATGTTTAACTTTGCTATGTTTTAATACAAAGACCTTATGAGAATAGCGACCAGAGAGCATTGAAACTAATAAAGGCAATTCTTAGGCCATTAATGATTAGGATAACAAAGGAAACAAAAGACAATAAATTTTTCATTGTCATTTGTTTCCTTTATTTTTCTAAACATTAATAGACTAAGAATTACCTTTATCAGTTTCAATACTCTCTGGTCACTACTCCCATAAGGTCTTTATATTAATTTATTCATAGCAAAATTAAGTAATTTATTTCACTTAAACTAAAAAAAAAAATTAATAATTTTAAAAATGAAAAATTTAATAATTTTGCATTTTTTTTTATTTTTTCGGTTTGGAACCGGAATCGTCCGGTTCCGAACCGGAACCGGCGGTTCCGGTTCCAATATTATAGGAACCTTAACCGGAACCTATAAGGTTCCGGTTAAGAACCGGAACCGGAACCGTACGGACGGTTCCGGTTCGGTTCCGGTTAGCACAGTGACGGTTCCGGTTACGGTTCCGGTTTGAACCGGAACCTTGGTCACCCCTACTTATAGGCTTCGTAATTACAAATTTGTGTGCACAATTGACTATTGAACTATTAACTTGTAGGCTTAGTTAATAAACACGTGTGTGCACAGTTGCGTTGAATTGTGTGCATGGGTACTGAATACGTAAATTTCGTAAAAGAGACTAATTCAAAAATCGCTTATACGCTTAGTTTTTAAATACATGAGTGCACATTGGGTTTAATTATGTGCGTGCACAACTAAAAAATTCCAACCATTGGTTAAAACTAAATAAATTCCACATAAGTGAGTAGTTCACTATTAGCTTATAGGCTTCGTAATTACAAACGTATGTGCAGAATGGCGTTATATAGTGTCCAAAGCTCTACTAAATAATTACCAACCGTGGGTAAAGTTCAAAACAGACTAGTTCAATATTATCGTGTACGCTTAATTTTTAAATACGTGGGTGCACATTTGTGTTAAATAATGTGCATAGCTCAACAAACTAAATAAATTATGTGTGCGCACAACTAAATACATTTCAACCATGGGTAAAAACTAAATAAATTTAGCAATACTGAGTAGTTCACTATTACCTTATAGGCTTAGTAATAAAAAACGTGGGTGCACAATGGTGTAAAACAGTGTGCAAAACTCAACAAACTAACTTCCAACAATCGGTAAAATTCAAAAGTTTGACGAGTATTTAATTCAACTTCAAATGAAGTTAGTATTCGTATTGTTTTAAACCATAAGGGGCTATTCGTCTGATAGGTTTATTTTGTCTGAACAATTCTGGCTGTCGTGGCTTGGCCTGAAAGTAACGCACCTTTTATTATTGTCCACTCCCGTAAATGGTATAGAGACAAGCCTGTATCTGCAGAGTCAATATTGTTTGGTTATTAGTGTACACATAAAATAGTAATAAAAGCCGAATTTTTTGTCCCACCGCGCTTATCAGTAAAAATTCAAGAAACTAAGGGATTCATCCATGCACATAGATTTACTTAGGTGTGCACCGAACAGCGAAAGACTAAATAAGATCACAATCATCAAAAGTAAGGCTTAATAACTCATATATATGCGTCCAGTATGACCTGCAGTGTCATCATTTTTTTTAGAGTTAATAGTGCACACATATCTGGTACGTATAACACAAACGTATATAATTAAGAATAGACTGTGTGACTATGTGCGTATTGTATATTGCGGTCAACTGTGCACACTTACAGTATAAAGCATGCACACATGTTACTACTAATTTAAATCTACCTAGTTCTCCGGTGCGCACACGATAATCTAAACTCGTGCACACACGCGGAATCTAAACATACCAATAATTCAACCATTCAAAATAATAATTTTACCGTGGGGTGTAGGTCTGTTTTGCTTTGGTCAACTCCTACTATAATTACTATTCTTTAATTTAGGTTACATATCAAAATAATAATTTTACCGTAATTAGACTACCGTTCAATTATCTTAATTGCCCTTTTATTCTTAATTAAGGATCCTAGTATATATTTTTCTTCTTAAATCTCAACCATTAATCTAATCTTATCTTATGGCCCATATTTGTCTACTAATTTGTATTTTAAGGGGGTTTGCATGTGAATGCATATATATATATATATATATATATATATATATATATATATATATATAAGGATCAGTTCCAGTGGGAAAAGGCTCTCAGGTGAAAGATGGGGTAAGATTTGAATTGTCGATCAAATCTAAATCAACGGTTCAAATCAATGATTTTTTTTTAAAGGCACATCCAAAGTGGAAAGAAGCAAAGTGTAAAAATGGCATACTTTAAGTGTTATAAAGACGCACCTTAAGTGTTAAAATGACGCACTTTAAGTGTTACAAAGACGCACCTC